AAAAAAACTGGGTCCTGGGGAATTGGAAAGGTTGCTGAGTACTAGGACTGACTAACTTGAATGAACACTCCTCTCAGAGAGAAGGGGTATTTACCTGATTATAGAGCACTGGGTAAGGTGGAAAGAAGGGGATAAACTATTGTTTGTTAAATTCACCAAAATTCTTTTTTAAAAAATGAAAACAAAAATCAAAGAATAGAAATAGGCTGGAATCTTTTCTTTTTAAAAATCTCTACAATTTTTCTATGCAATTTAAAACAATTCAAATAAGGATTTACTGAGCATTTTATAAAAGAGCTTTTAGTAAAGGGTATTTATGGTTCTTTTTTTATCAGAATTGGTTTTCAGATTTTATTTGGCACATAATTGTGGTTTTTTGCAGAACAGGGGGATTCAACTCCAAAATTGGTCCTTAACTTTAAAATGTAAAAGTCTTTGAGTTAAATCATGAGAAAATATTTAACATACAACACAAAAATTTAATGTCCTTTTGGGTGAATGTGAGTTTATATTAACATCATTTAAAAAAACCTGTGGTCATTTATGCAAAGTAGCGTCAGGGGTTTCAACTTTGTGATTCACTCTCATTTAGATTACCTAATTTTTTCAGGTCGCTTTCCACTGCTGTGAGCTTGTCATCATAGGTTTGGCGAGATGTCTCCATGCCACCTGTAACATTGTCCATTTTCTCTACAACTAAGATTTGGAAATCAATGCATTAATACACATACCTGCTCAAATTTGACTTTTCATTTTCAATAAGAGATCATTTCATTACAGAATAAAGGAAACAGATTGAAACAAAAGTATAAATGTAATCAAATACTGTATGGGGGAAAAAGCCATTTTATAAAAAAATGAGTTATGTGTCTCAAAACCCAGCGACAGTTTACTTGTAAACTTGAGAATTATGTTTTTAATTCTTCTCATGATTTGGTATTGCCTTGGATATTTTAGAATTTGTTTGGAACAGATTTATAGATTTTTATGTATTGCAGAAGTCCTCGATCTGTATTATTTTCTATACAGATGGTCCCTCCCCGACTTGCGATTTTTTGACTCTATGCGTGCAAAAGCAATATGTATTCAGTACAAACTGTACTTAGAATTCTGAATTTTGATCTTTCCCGGGCTAGTGATATGTGGTATGATACTCTCACGATGTTGGGCAGCAGCAGTGAGCGACAGCTTCCACTTAGCAATGTGATCATGAGGGTAAACAAACAATACTTTATAGTGTATTCACTGGGTTAGATGATTTTGCCCAACTGTAGGCTAATGTAAGTGCTCTGGGCATGTTTAAAGTAGGCTAGACGAAGCCATGATGTTCAGTAGGTTAGGTGTATTAAATGCATTTTCAGCTTACGATGGGTTTATCAGGACGTAACCCCATCATAAGTCAAGGAGCATCTGTATTAATTTACAAAGACGGAGGCATAACACTGCGACCATTTACAAAATTTCATCACTCATGACACTCCCTACCATTCCTAGCAGGTAGGACTTGCTTATCTAATGTGAGATTTCATAGCAAAGAGCACCTCACTCAAATCTATACAAAGTCTTCATAGAAGGGGTGCAAAGTCAAGAGTATTTGCTTTTCTCTGTCATGAGTTCCACCACTGAGGCCTGAAAATCTGCTGCTTCTTAGTGACAAGTGAGTCTATAGTTTTTCAGTTCCCATGAAGATGCCTGAGTTTCCAAACAGTAACTTACAAAAAAGACTTTTTAAAAAGCATTTTCTTGATTACATCAAGTTAATGATGCAATATTAAATAAAAACTTCTGTTATAACTCATTCTCAGGAGGCAGTAATTCTCTATGGTTACGAATATAAGTTTATCTTTCTAAAATGTCTAATAAGAGCATATTTTCCCAAAACTGACTCCTGTGACTTGGAATGAAGTCTGACTGTCCTTGCTATCAACAGCTTTTTAAAATAATGACTATTTTTTTAAAGTCTGCATATGCTTTGTATATTAATTGTGGGCCAATGGGTCCAGTTTATTTTATTCAAGTGTTCCACCCATGTATGATTGTGTGAGAAGATTCTCCTGGTTTCTATCAGGAAGTAGAAGTACAGTCCCATGTGTCTGAATGACCTAAAGTGAACTAGCTCGTGGCTTCTGGCACCTTCCATGGAGAGGCCTGTCATACTCCCCTCTTAAGCTTCTACAGTCTGGCCATAATGAAATGTGTGCATTGCACCAAATGCTCTTTCTCACCCAAACCTTACCATGTATTCTTTCTTCCACCTAGAATGTTCTTCCCTGGCCTCTTCACCAAGTTAAGACCTATTTGCTCTTCAAGACTCAACTCATCACTTCCTGTGGGAAGTCTTTCCTGAAATACATCTTGTAGAGTTCTCTTGGCAAGGCATCCCTTCTTTATTACATGACTTAACTTCACTGTGTTGTCATGGTTTGTTTATTATAAGATCCTTTAAGGCAGGAAAATTTATATTCAGTTTTATCTCCAGCTCTTGGCTCAATATGAGGCTCTTATAGGTGTTCAACATATACTTATTTATTATACCATTTATTTAAATAAATGGGAATCTGCCTGCTGACTGCTGAGGCCTATGAAATATCGGCTGAGCTAGAGGTCATGCAAACAAACTTACAAACCAACCAATCCAGGGAAGCCTCAGCATTGGACTGAGTAAGGCATCTAGTTGAATAGTTTTTTTTTAATGACTATATAGAAAGAGAGGTATAGCTATGATAATCTGCACCTTAGGGTTGTTTAATGGGCACGTATACTCCTAATCCCTGGAAACTGAAGAACAAAATGTTTCATCTGCATTTTAGCAAAGCTAAACTTTTAAAAAAATAAAATAGGGGATGTTTATCAGTTTAGGTTCAGTTTTGATCCTCAAATCAAAACATATGCCTCTGTCTGTCCTCAAACCACATGCAGGATCTTAAGTCCTGCCTTTTCTTCCTGGAAGCCAAAGAAACCTCTAAATATGCTGACAGGCAGTCATTTTCTACCCTCTCTAATTTTTCTTCCATTTTAGTTTAAAAAAAACACAGAATTGTCATGGACAGATAATTTAGATTTGCGTAGAATGAAAGGAATAAATACATTCATTAAAAAAAACAAAACCTGTTAAATTTCTCTTCAGTGTAGCAAGAAAACTATTTGTCCTGCCCACAAGTGCTAGTGAACTGGTTCCATACACTGACTGGGGCATGTGTCTGTGTTTAAAAACAGCATCTGGGTATGAAGCTGCAAACTTTAGGATTGCAAAGCTGGCAACTTGCTTCTGCATAAAAACACTATGCTGGTAGAGACCCAGAACCAACACCTGCTGTAACAACACACAGCATTTTTGTTGATTTATACTGTTAACGTATTAGCACAAATTCTAAGGATGGCAGAGCCATCCTCTCTTACCCTAGAAACTCCCAGTCTACAGGTGTAGACCTCAGTTTGTAGATTGTTCTCACATGAGGGAAACAAACATGAAACACAGAAGGATTACTGGAAGTCTGGTTTTTCATGGGCTCCCCTTTATTGTAAATTGTTTCCTCACAGAGAATTTTTCTTCAGAATATCAGTGCTTTAGGTGTTATACCTGAAGAGTTTACCTTTTCAAGTACTCAAAGCCTAATTCCCTAAGATAATCTGACAATAATACCTTTTCTATAAAAGGACTTTGGCATCATCCTTTGGCCTGGGCCACTAATCTCCTCCCTTTCTTGTCTTGATTTCACCCATCTTTTAAGCTTCACTCCAAAACTCATCATTTTATCATGCTAAGCCTTCTGTGGTGATTTGATTCCATACCATACCAACTGAACCGTTATCTAAATGGCAATAATAACAGCCTCTATTTATTGAGTGCTCTTTGAAAAATGCACTGCACCATTTCTGCAGTTAATCCTTACAACTCCTATTTTACAGTTGAAGAAACTGAGGCTCGGAGATGTTCAGTAATTTGCACAGAGTCACGTATCTTGTAAGTGACTAAGTGGATACCAGGCCAGGAGATCTCACTCCACAACCCATGTTTTCTCTATAAGTCTACACTGCCTCTCATTTAGTATTTCTTTTTCCTAAATGTGGTTTTCTCCAATAAAAATCCCTTGAGGGGAAGGATTATGTCTTCTTTATCTTCTCTTTATAGTCATCATCCTCAGATGTTTACTCAGATCCACCAAGTATGTGACATAATACTAGACATTGAAGACACAAGAGACATAGCTCATGGCCCAGTCTTTGAGGAAAGAGAACAAGAGCAGAGCACAGAGATCCTGCTTGGTGCTCATGAGTTTCTATACCAGACAGATGGTGGTACTGAGGCGGAAACACATCCCCTCACTGGTACCTGAGACTTCCCAGTAATACCAACTACACTCCCCTGGAATGCAATAAAGACATTTCTACTTTGGACACTATTTCAGATTTCATTATGAAAATACAGAAGATCTGGGCCAGCCGAGTGGCGCGTTGGTTAGGAACTGGCTTGGAACGCCAACTCTGAGCAGCAGGGCCCCTGTTTGGATCCCACATTAGGGCCAGTGACGCTGCGCCCTCTACAGCTAAGATGGTGAACAACAGCTCGACCTGGAGCTGGGCCGCCATGTGTTGTCGGCGACGGCATAGGCTGCAGTGGGTTGCCATAAGCTACTGTGAGCAGCAGGCAGCTGGCGTGAGCTGCCAAAAGTGGCCGTGAGTGGCCGTCCAGGGGCTGGCGACCAATCTGCCTCATCCAGGAAGAGCGCAATAATAATGCCAACATGGGCCAGTGAAGTGACGTCCTCCACAACTAGACTGAAGAAAAAAAGGACAGCAACTTGTCTGTTCCCCTTCCCTGATTCCCCAACGCTGTTCCCCTCCCCCAATTCCCCAATAAAAATCTTAAAAAAACAAAAAAATACACTAGATCTGGTTGTAGGGTATTATCCTAGATTCCAACAGAAGCTACGCAGTGTGACTTGATGCACGTTTTGAAACCTACTTTGTCAGGGCTTAACAGTAAGGTAGACATCCTATGGCTAGGAATGTTGAGCTAAAGGAGATTCTTACTGAGAAAGACTCAGATTTCTGGCTTCTTTCTTTATCCTAATTACCGTAAGATGGATGCCGGCTGGGCAGGACAACTGAGTAGAATTTTCCTATTCAGGGAATGTTCTGGAGGAAACATGACCCATTGAACTTAAGAGATGGCTTCTGCCATGGAAGCTCCATTGACTAATGACAAAAGGTCAGGGCAAAGGATGCACCAAGCTGTAACTGTTCAAGAACATCTTTCTGTAAAGCAGTTGGTGAGCCTCATGGCCACAGCCACTGTACAGACCTGTCTGGGTGACTCAGCAGTCCTCTGACTTGTTCAGCAGATTCTCTAGAAGGAACTTAAGTCATATCCTAACTTATAGCTGCAGAAGTGACATAAAAGGAGAAGTAAAGAATGATTTGAGGAAAACAGTGTAGAGTTGCCTTTGGTAAGTCTAATAAATAAAAGAGTTTCTATTTTATTTCCATTCAACTTCTCCTTCAGAAAAGCATCTTCTTTCACTGAACGTGTTTTTCTTTCATTTTTTTAATGGAGAGAGTTTCTCTAGACTTCAAAGGGAGATGTGTGAAGGGAGAACTGGGTCTTATCTTTCTACCTCTTACAATGTGGAGTTACCAGCATCTTATCAGCAAGAAAGACGACTCACTGTATAAGCAAAGAGAAGACAGCTCTGGAAAATATCAACGTTTTAGCTCATTAAGGCTGTATTTGGAAACCCAAATTGCATGCTGCATCCTATTTTTGTCAGTAGAGGCCTGAGGGATGGGCGCCTTGAAGGAAGAAAAAGACAGGCTCAAGATGGTCATCTCGCCTCTACTTATCCACTCCCTCAATCTCTTCTCCCCTTCATCCTGGTGAGATCACATCCCGAAAGCAAGCCAAGCAGATCTCCAGAATTCTGGGTTTCTAGGTAGGACTCTATGAGTTGCAGCAACCTCCTAAATGCAGATTAGCTTAGAGGTCCCTTAGTCATCCACTGACTGCCTTTATAGAAGTCAGCCTGAATCTACAATTCATCCATCCTCTCAATAATTCATTCAGTAAACTTTATTGGGTACCTGTTGAGTACCATGAGGCTAGGTGCTAGTGGAGATATAAAGGATAGTCTCTTGCCTTCATGGAACTTATAGTTTGGGTGGTGAGACAGATAAGCCCACTGGCCATAATGATATAGTGTGACAGGAGCTAAAAGTAAATAAAAGGTGCTATGGGAACAAACAGGAGGGCACCTAACTCAGCCTTCAGGGACTTCTTGCAAGACGTGTGACTAACTAAGACATGAAGGGAAAGGAGACATTTAGGTGGAGAGCAGAGAAAAGGTACTCCAGGCAACAGGACAAGCCAGAGCCGAGAAGGGTTTTCCAATGTCATAACGATGGGGGAAATGTCTGTGCTTTAAAAACACACCAAAAAAGAAAAAGAAAAAAAAATCCCCTTTCCTTTGGGTCTTTCTGTATAATTCTGAGGGCATAAATATCGTAGACCTTATTTCCTTGCAGAAGTAAAAATACCACACAGTGGTATGCTCGTCAAACCCTTCTCATCTTTTTCAGTAGAAAATGTTTACTTTCATGATATCACATAGTACTGAGCCCTAAAGATACTGATTAAGTGGCTGTTTGGTTCCAAGTTTCTCCTTTTTCTGGGTTTGCTTGAAAAAGTCATGGAGAAGTGAATAATGACCTAAACAACTTAGTAAAGGAGGAGAATCTGAATTAACTAGAACATTAAAAAACCCTCCTTTTCCCCACTAGGTTCCTTCCCCCACCTCTGTACAGCCCTCGCCATAATTTAATAGCTTTTCTTAATCACTTACCCTGTTAATCCTAGGTTAGATTAACTCATCGCGTATGGATAAAATGGCCTGAATCTTCCAAATTTCCATTGTTCAAATTCATCAGTCAACACACTATAGGATGCACATAATTTTCCATGTACATGTCTCTAGAGGTGGGACTTTACAAGCCTGGACTATACTGAGTATTTTTAACATATTTCTCCATTCTAGTGGCTAGAGCTGTATAAATGCAGTTATGAAGAAGGAAGGAACAGAGAGATATCTATCTACTGGGACCAACTATAGGATAGGTGGTTCAATTACATCATCTTTGCTCATCCCAACCACCTTGAAAAGTGGCATTATCATTTTATTGGTAAAAAATTGGAAACTCTAAGAGGTTATGATTCATACCCAGGTTAAAAAGCCACGCAAAGGACTTATTAACATGATGCTTGGCATGCCAGCAAGCACTTAATAAACATTTACAATTGTATTACAATTGGCAGAATTAATAACTGATCTTGGACTGCCTGGCTCCAAACCCATTCTCATTCCAATATGTTTCCTCAGGAAACCACTAAACACTGGGAGAGAGGTGGGAGGACTTATAAGTTGGAGGGAATTCACGTTGAATCTTTCTCTCTTCAGTCCAAGACTATGGGCCAAGGACTGAGAAGGGAACATGTGGGATTCTCCACTGTTAATCTGTCACTTCTGAGGGAAGGCAGCTGAGATGGCTGCTGAATGAAAAGTTTTGAAGATCAGCAGACCCTACGTCTGTCTCTTGCTGAAACTAGACAACATGCCTGTCTCATGTGTCTTTGACGGCAAGGCTTCCACGGCTATTTCTATAAAAGGGCTTATATAGTTTGTGATTCTGCATCATGATATCTTCTACCCGTGGTGTCTGAAACAGGTACAAGGCTTGGGGGTGGTGTACTTTATCTACAAATCTGGAGGATTCAGGCAAAAATCCTCCACTGACCTTAAACCAGACATGTTGAAAGAATGCCTAATGTCCCACAAAGTATAGGTGAGGTGGTAGAGCTGTCCCTGTGTTTAATTTCTACAGGGCAATTTTTTATGGAGCTATATATACAACAGTGACCACAATAAATGTACTGAAGAGAAAAGAGTGAAGTAGTTGGCCAGTCCATGGATGCGATAAATCATATCTCTGGAGATCTTGTGTTTGGCTTTCCCTCTGTCAATATAGCTTTCCTGTGTACTGACTCCAGGGTTTCCACAGGGCCTCTTAGAGATAAGACAGAAAAAGACAGAGGAAGAGGGAGTAGCTGGAAATAGGTAGGAAAAAACAACAAAGAGGAAGAATCTCATTAAGGGCCATTATTATTGTTGAAATGACTAAAAAAAATTTGCTACTTTCCCCCTTTCAGATCCCACAGTCACAAGAAGCTCAAAACACAAAGAGGGAGCTTGTGATGTTTCTCAGTTTTGCATCTCAGTTGTATTCATGAAATACTTCATATTTGCAAACATGTTTTTTTTCACGTTAAGTTAATAAAGGGAAACTTGCTATTTGAAAGGAAAAAGCAAAAGTACTTACCTTTGTATCCCAAAATGGCTACTGTGATTGTTAGCAAGGCACACAAAATGTATAATAATATGATAGAAAACTTCAGTGCCCAGTTATTTTTACATTTGGTACATTGTGTTCCTTCCTGAATACCTGTAAGAGAAGTCAAATTTTAATAATAGTGACGAAAAATATTACTTCAAAAAGTATCTTTTTGCATTTTGGTTCAAATACGAGTATTATGGCTAAGAATAACATTTTACATATTCCTTACTACAGGATGAGTGGTATTTTAAAGTTAAACATAGTCACCACTTCAGCAACCAAGCACTTTAAATATTACCATGATGTTGTTATAATTGTATTTAATATGACTTGAAAATAGCACATAACTTTGTCTCACAGAATAGTTTTGAACCCAATTCCACTCTGATAATCACAATTATAATTTTAATAAAAATCTCCATATGACAAAGATTTAAAATACCCATATCCACTTGTTTTAGGCATTATTGGACCTATAGCAATTCATACACAAGTGACACAAAAAAAGTGTCACTTATCTCTTGATATAGTGCACTAGAGGTAGTTCCTACTGGTTTGCAAAAGTCAATTGTTAAATTTGTAGGAATTTTGGGAACTGACTGTTAAACTGTTGGTACCCTGAAATCAGTTCTAGAGGGAGTATATACACCATGGAAATTCATAAACACTATAAATTATTATCCCTCTACTGTGAACTGGTTTACCAGCATGCCACTGGCTGTAAATGTACTGTAACTTGTAGCAGAAAACATAGGTAATTTTATGATTAAAATGCTCAATATATAACCATTTTATACATTACATATATATAGAAACAGACATTGACCCTTATTTAAGTTATCACAGTGATTAACAATTTTGGAACAACTAAAAAAAACAGATATTTTGATGAGAGGAGGCAAATTTTGACTGCTCACAGTTCAACTTTTTGAAAAATATTCTAGTCTAAGTGTTAAACCATCATCACTTCTGCAAGTGACTCCAGAAACAAACCCTTAAAAAGGAAACTTTCTATTGAATTGATTAGAAACACAGAAGACAAAGACTGGACATTTTAATGTGAAAATCACATTGTAAGGAGTACTGGGAGGTCCTTCTTTCCCTGACCTGTTTCCCTATGTGTCTGACTAATAGGGTCCCCCAGGAGCAACAGCACATAAAGGGCTGATCTCTCATAACTGTGTTTAATAACTTTTGATGGGTAGGTCGTAAGGATTAAGCCACAGCCGAAGTTTCTTTCCTTGGGTTTGTGGTTTTACACGTAGTGCCCTTCTTCAGTGAAAAGAGCTCTTCAGCTGTGTTTAATGCAAAATGATGAGAGAAACAGCAAAGAAAAATGACTCAAATTTAACTTTTAGGTTTTAAACAATCCCTCGGTGTTCTGGGCTAGAGACCAAGGGGAGTGGGCTCAGTCTGTCTGTTCCATGACTCAAGAGCATTGATTCTCAAACTGTGGGGGCACATCAGACTCACTTGAAGGGCTCATGAAAACCCAACATTTCTAATTCAGGAGGTCTAAGAAGGTGCCTGAGAACCTGGATTCCTAGCACGTCCCAGGGGATGTTGATACTGCTAGTCTACAGACCGTGCTTTAGAATGGTGCTTCTCAAACCATAAGGTGCTTACAAATCCCACTGTTCAAATGCAGAGTCTGATTCAGAAGGACAGAGGTAGGAGCTAAGATTCTGCATAAAGTCCAGGTAATGCCTGGTCAGAGAAACACACTTTGAGGAGAAAAAGTTTGGTTTAGAAGATGGTAATGCTGGATCAACCTTTGGTTGCCAATTCCTTGAAGATGAATCTGTAAAATCAGACTCACTTGATCCAACAGACTAGAGTAAATCAGCTTCTTTGCATCAGTTTTCTCATTTCTTTTACTCCTTTTCCTTTCCATCCTCCTTTAACTGCCATCTGGATATCTCAGTACCACCTCTCGTGTCCAAAACCGACCTTGGTACTAAGCCCTACCAAACCAGATCTTGAACTTCCACCCAACTTCTTATTTCTGTCTAACCTAAAAATTACTACTATCCCACCTCCCAAGGTGGTTAAACTCAAAGACATCCTGAAGTCTTCTCTTGTACTTACTCTCCAATTAACTCAGTCACTAGGCCCGGCTAATCTTCCTGTGGGATATTTTTATCATGATCATCTCATCTACAGTTTATTGATGTTCATTTACTGCCTACATTGTACCAGATTTTGAGCTAGGCACTTGACACACAGCATTTTAAATCCATATAATAACCCCTGAATGAGGCAGGTAGTGAGAGCTGAAAGGACATGCCTTAGACATCACAGACAGGATTTAAACCTGGGTTTGACTGCAAAAGCCATGATCTCTCCAGTACGCCATGGTGCCTTTGTCTGGTCATTCTTTCCTCTTCATTTCCACTACCTACTGTGAGATCCTTTAATCTCAGTGAAAGCTTCCTCTGCCATTCCCACTGAATCTAGCCTCACCCTTACTAAAATAGTGCTATCCTCATGACAATGCCAAAAAGAAAAAAAAAACCCAAAAACACCGTCAACAGCTCACCCTGAACTAAAGGAACAACACACACACACACACACACACACACACACACACGTACACACACACTTATCAGCACACTTATCAGCTCTTAGGCTTTTCATAATCTGGCAGTTGAAAATAAAACAAAGACTCCTCACATCCAGTTAGAGTGAAAATATTTTGGGGACTGGGAGAGGGAGCTGTATAGGTAGACCCACAAACATACCACATTTCATGTTCAGAAACAATAATCTTGCTTTGGTGGCAACTGTAAAACATGGAAGGATGGTAGACACTGGGAAACTGACGACCTCCTGTGGAAAGGCCGGATGACACTTCTATGGCTGATAGCAGGCGCCGGAGGCGGGGTTCTTTCCTTTTGAATGTTTGTACGGTGGTGGGTGAGCTCTTTACGCCTCTCCAGGCGTACATTCCATCAGAAGAGCCTCAAAAAGATTTGATTAGAACGGAGAGTATGGTAGATAATAGAATCTAGGGCTAGAAGGTTGCCTAGAGGTCATCTGGTCAAGCATAATTGTGTTATGGATGGGGAAAGTGAGGCTGGCGAGGTAAAGCAGAATCAGAAGCCACACATCCTGACTCCCAGTGCAGGGTCCTTCCCTCCTCCATCCTGGCCACGTGTGCTAGCTCTGTGTTTGCCACTGGACATCTTGTACGTGTGGTATTTGTGCAGATCCGCTCCCAGGCAGTTGTCACTCGTTCACATTCTGAAGAGCAGACACTTGCTCACAATGTGCATTTCTCGTTGCTAACCATATCAGCATTTAATCAGTATCAGATGGCACCACCTGACCTCCCTTTCCACTTGACACACTTTCTCTGTTTTGTTTTTTCTCTACCTCCCCCCTCCCCCCCCAGACTTATTTTTAATAAGAATTCTGTTTTATCTTTCCCTCTCTGCCCTCCGCTGGGAGGACATCTGACCAAACATAGGAATGCCTACTACAAAGAGACCCTGCTGGCTCACGTAGCTGGGGGACCCCTCCTCCTTCAACCTAGATGGTCACAAAAAACATTCAAGAGAGATACCCCCTGTTACCAGCCTTTGTAGTGTTTGTTTTCTTAGCATTACTTTCCAGAGACTGGGGACTCTGTTCTCATTGGAGGGGGCGGGGTAGGAAGGGCAAAGGAATGGATCTGCAGAGTGTTGCGGATAGGAGATTCCAGTGCAGGAAGTGAAGCAGTTTTGCCCCTTACCACCAAGACATCTAGCTTATCAAAAAACCTGGCCCAAACAGCACATGTGTAATTCAACAGGCCACTGAGAGAACGTTCCATGCCTTTCCATTGGTTATCCCTCTTGAACTGTCTCCCATTAAACGTGATTCTTGGCTCGTGTTCTGAATGGATTTCCCCGTGTCCAAGTCTTTACTATACAGAAAACCTTTGGGGACCAAGTGAAGCCAGAATCACACTAGTTAACTCCTTGAGTATTCTACGGAAGTTCAGAATAGGCTGACAATTTGGTCTCTAGTGCCCAAACTCAAAGTTCTCCATGTTGCCCTGTTTCTAATAACACATGTTTAAAGTAAGAAGAGTAGGGGTTCGGTGGGGCCACTGATCAGGGGGTGGTTAGCTAGTTGGAGAGAATAATTGAAACACTGCAGGAATGATAGTGCAGATGGCCAGAAGAATTCACCAGCAAGGAGAATTCCTGTCTGCTGTGGTTCTCCATAAAGAGCCCTCCCAAGTGCTGTGGTCCAGGCCCCAATTCAGTCTGTTTTCCCAATCTTTTTGGAAAACAAAAGAGTTTCCTTCACTACCATATTTTTCTGCCATGTACATCCCCAGAGAGCTTGTCTGTTAAAATGGACACATGCTGATCAAGCCCCTTCCCTGTTAGGGGAAGGCTGGCACTCTGGGTGAGTGTGGGCACTTCTGGGCTGTCTTAATTACCACAAGTGTCGAGAGTTCAGTGGTGTTGCCATAAAGATCATGTTACCAAAGAGAAGCTTCAAAAAGCTGGAAGATTGCAAAATCCAGAAAACCATAGGTTTTGATCTGAGATTTGCAGTGACCTTTTCATGTGGGTTTTTTTATAGCTATTAATTTACTGCCTGGTGGTATATATTCCCATAAGTCTATGAGAATGACTTGGCTCTAACAGGAAAGCTGATGATTCAAATAAACTCCTGTAATTAAAATGCCCTTAGAAGCAACAAAACAGTAAGAGTTAACATCATGGTTAGTTATTTGGACACAGTTTCACTAGAACAAAAAGTTAAATACATAAAATACTTTATCCAACAAATTAAAATTTTCCTTATTATAAAGGCCATTTGCTAAGTGATGGGATATGGATTTAGTTAGTAAAAAAAACTTGTTTTATTAATGAATAATTTAGTTCCCCAAATACAAATCCCAACCCTGGACACCTTCTTATGCCAAGTTTCCTAAACAATGTGGAGAATCATGAGAATAGAAGCAGGACAAGAATTGGTAATGAAATAACTTTCTGTGCAAAATAAATGAAGCCTCATAGCATGTCTGCATTGAGAAAGATGCATTCAAATCAGAAAACTTATTTAGAAGAGAGTTTTATGAGCTGGAAATCTTTAGCATTCATTCTGAG